CCAACAACAAAAAACCCAATTTTTTTTTTCATGTATTGCTTTCCATCTCTAACGGAGTTCCCTGTCCATGTCATGGTGCATCACAAATAATAGTGTTGTGACCACATGGACCGAATTTTTTTTTTAAATGAAAGGCAGGTTCACTGCCAACAGAATATGACCCCATTACGAACAGGCGATCGGACAGTCCCCGATTGTGGGTGCTAGTTAGTAGTTAGTCTGTCTAGTCTGTCTAGTCTGTCTAGTCTGTCTAGTCTGTCTAGTCTGTCTAGTCTGTCTAGGAAGTTAGAGCGCAAAACTGAAAGACGTGAGCGATGGTCGGGAAGACGTAAAAGCGTCCACGAGTTCACAATTTGATAGAATGCAGTCTGTTCAGCTGACGTTTGCTAGTGCTAGTGTGTGATGGAAGATCAGGCGGACGGCTCAGGTGATCGGGGAAAGCAAGGCATTCATGAGTTCACACCTTGATGCGATCCCGTCTGGGGCAAACACTGTAACCGCTTATCGTGATTTACAGCAATGGCCTGATCGCATTCATGAAAATGAATGATCCGTGACGCGACGGACGTGCAATGATCGCACATTTTCGCTACTTGGTTGATCAGCTGAGCGCGCACAGGTTTCTTATTCTTTTTGTTCTTAAATTAAAAAAAAAAAACTGCATTATGACCTGAAAAGCGGGATCTTAGCCGAATGTAGCTCCTTCAGTGCGGAATCTTCGGGGTGACTTTTAAATAGTAAACATTCTGTTTTTCCAAAACAGAGGGATCTTAAGCGAACCTGGACCATAAAGTGGTGGGATCTTAGGCGGAGACTACTGTACTAGGGCCGTGAGGTCATAAACCAAATGTTCTATCTGCTCTTTCAAAATCGTAAGATTATTGGAAATCGTTATCAAGATAGTCAAAGACTTGCATTTGCAAAAGCTTGACACTTTGTCAAACTCAAAACATTTAACGTCAAATTTCTCAAAATAGACAGAGTTTTGTCATTCTAGGGCTGCCACATGTAACATTTCGATAAGAGAACATGATATAACCGGACCACGTTTTAGACAATACAAAACCGTTACACAATGCTCGGACATGTGTATATTGAGATGATAAAGCATGATACACAACGTCACGTCATAGACAATGCAAACACAATAGAAAAACTCGTACGTGTAATGTTTTTTTATGTACAAGGTGGTTTTAAAAAAACAACAAACAAACAAAAACAAAAAAACAGTACAACTTTGTTTCTAAATATCTCGAACAAAATTTGTGCTAGAATGTTGTTATTTGAGACAAATATAATTCATTCAAAAGGAATTTGTTTAACATAAAATTCACAAAGAAAAAACGTATTTTCAAAAAACGGATATGGCTTTTATTTTTTTTAAACCATTTATAAATGCAAAATTCACCTTAAAAGATCTTGTAGGGAAAGTCCAGAACTGGTTTGTTTTTTCTTTTCCTATTATATTTTAAATCAGATCTTTCCATCCCTGCGACCTTTAAACAATAAATATTTCTTTTCTCTAAAAATATTTTTGAATTCTGGAATTCCGAGAACCAATGGCCTGCAGTGTGTCCTCATTTGGACTCGACACATTTTAACGCATCGTTCATAATGTTCAGGGGTGGCCAAACACAAGGATCCACTCGACCGTGAGTACTCAAAGCCACACACACTGGACACCTTACAGTATGGAGCTGTTTCTAGAGACAATTGGAGGGGGATGAGGATCTTACTCTTAGGAAACATAGTGTTGATTAGGGGGTTGGGTGTGTGGGGGGGGGGGGGGGGGGTGAGGTTTCCCGAATAGACAGCATTTATGGAGTTGGATATAACCTGAAAGGTAAATATGGGCTTTGCCAAGGAACCAAATGTCATAGAGGTAATGTTCATGCCTTTCAAGACGATCGGGGAATCATGAACACATTGCTATCCTCTGATTGCTGACCAAACGGGGAAAATTATCTAAAATGAATATCAGACAAATTCCTTTTGACTTCCAAATGGTGTGTACCAGTTTGAAACGCAAAACTTCTGTGTGGAGGTAAATATTAATTTTAAAAGTTGTACTTTTTGGGGATCACCCTGTGGGTGTCGTTTACGCCCCACACAATTTAGATCTTCTAGGAGGCGGACTTCCAACCATGCCTGTCAGGGCCATTCCGGGCTAAGAGGGATACAACATCCCAACAGAAAGACCGAGATACTCGTTTAACATTTCTTCCTCAATCGGCAATTGTACTCGGGTCTCCTGCGTGCGACAGTGAAGCGTCTAAACACTACACCACAAACGCCGCTTGTAAACATTTGGTTATAAAACATGATTGACAAACTCATGTCACAGACAATAAACACACAATATACAATGTGACATGTAAACATTTGATCACAAAACACGATCCACAATCGCATGCCACAGACAATACACACAATACAATACGATATATAAACATCAATTGATTATAAAACAAAATTCACAACCTCACACCCCATACAATACACACACAATATTATACAATGCGACATGAAAACATTTGGTTATAAAACAAAATTCACAACCTCACACCCCACAAAATACACACACAATATTATACAATGTGACATGAAAACATTTGGTTATAAAACAAAATTCACAACCTCACACCCCACACAATACACACACAATATTATACAATGTGACATGAAAAAATTTGGTTATAAAATAAAATTCACAACCTCACACCCCACACAATACACACACAATATTATACAATGCAACTTGAAAACATTTGGTTATAAAACACGATTCACAATCTCATGCCACAGACAATACACACCCACAAATTGCTAGTCGCCACAACACAGCGCCTGTCATTTTATTAAAGTTGAGATCAGGCTATGTGTTTTGCACCTGAGAACGCCCCCTCCCCCACCCTCCCCTCCCCTTTTACCGTAAAAGTGGAGTGACCCAAGCTGTTTCTTCTAAGTATATTGTGGGAAAACTTGTAAAGTAAAGTAAGATAAGATACATCTTTTTTTGTCCAGATCCTGGCACATTGGTTTGGTGTTCCACCACGTGTACACACACAGACACACACACACACACATACACACACACACACACACACACACACACACATACATACACACACACAGGCACACACACACACACGCACATACGCACACATACACACACACACATACACACACACGCACACACACACACACGCACACACACATAC